AAAGATATTTATATTTATACATGTAGATGTGCTTATAATAAAGCAATGCCTTGCTTCCACAAGGTTTGGCAGTACTTAAAATCTCTGTCATGCTATCCAGTGCCTTCGACTTTTCTTGGATTCAGATCAGAGTTTGGGAGAACTAGGGACCAATCTGTTCTGTTTTCAAAGGGAGGAGTTTAGGGAAGGCTTGAGGTTTTTCCAGCAGAGCTCTAGAGATTTCTTTCATTAGTCAGACTCCAAAATAACAGTGAAAACATCTGATTTAGGTGAAAGATCAGACATTCAATAAGGAAGAAAAGTTGTTTCGAAGCTTAGAGAAGACTGTGAAATCATGTGTGAAGAACATTTCATTATCCTTACAGCATCTACAGGTGGGTACATGGTTTTATGCAATCTGGGGCACAACTTTTTTCAGTTGAACATTAACAACTTTATCCTTTAACAGTTTACACTGAAAATAGGTAAGACACAGGAAAATATTTTCACAGTAAATAACCCCCAAATGGCTGGAAACTGCACAGAAAGAAGCAAATAGGTATGAGAGATGGAAAATATTTCTGATTCCATCAATATTATTGCAGTATCTGCATAAGCGGGTGCAGCACATTAAATAAATCATAACCCATTTTCATCTTCCTACCATCTCCTCATTTAGGATTCCATACATCTGGCTGCACAGAATGTAACTGGGCTTCAGGAAATCTTGCAAGACAAAGATGACGAAGCTAACAAAAACTCAAAGAAAATGAACAACCCTACAAATCTCTGTGAAGACCTTGTAAGTTTATGCCATGTCCAACATTACATAGATAACAGTGTGACTGAGAAAACACATGTATGTGAGGAAGACTCAGGGCAAGAAGGAGCAAAAAAAACCTTAGGAATCCACTGTGAAAGATGAGTGTTTCTTTGTGTAAGTTGCTATAGGAAATTAGAAAATTTAGTCCAAGTAAAATGTATTTTCCCTAAAAAAAAAATAAAGAAAACTTTGTAAGTTCCTAGGATTAAACTAAAATCATTGCACTAAGTTTGCATGCTTCTGCTGAGCTTCAGACAGGAGCAGCAGATCTATGTTTTTTCTAGTTTCCTTGCCAATATTCAGTCTTATAGTGACTTTTTTTTTTTTTTAATCTTTGCTGTATAGTCCTGATCTATTAGTTCCTGGGATCATAGATCCACGGAAATCTCAGCTATTATCACCCTTTCAAGCAACTTACTGTCCTTAGTATAGGGAAAATGTGAACAAGCTGGATGTAGCCTGTAATGGTTAAAAAACAGTAACCCAACTCTGAAAAACTTCAAGTTTTTCAACCAGTCTCTCACTTTCAGGGTCCAAAGGAACTCTAATATCTGACTCTACTAAGATAGACTAAAATGTCTCTTCAAAATGGGCCAGGCTGCTGCTTCAAACAGTTCAACCTGGTGGTTGTTCATTCAGAGGTGGAGGTTTTCTTATGCTTTCCTCAGTCTGGTGACAGGAAGTGAGATGGTGTAATTTCCTTTTCTTTGTAGTTCCAGAATTTACAAAGAAACTGAAAATTTAATCTTAATAATCAGAAATATCTTTTCAATAACTTTAAAATGAATGACTACATTAGGGGAGGAAAAGGGACCCCTCTATCACACCGAATGATGACTGTGCAGTATGGAAGACATCCTTCCCCACCCCACTTCCAGAACCAGCAAAGCAGCAGCAGAAGGTCCACAGCAGGTGAAACATAAAACCATTTTTCAGGAAGACACTTTGTAACTCCCACTGCCTCAGGACCCATCTGGCCTGAAGTCCCACATAATTTTAAAAAACATCTGAACATTATTTAACTGTGGAAATTTTTAATAACTATGTTTACTTATTTTCTACTTCTTTGTCTTACATTTCATACAGTCTTTATCCTATATATATCTTAAAAAACCAACAACGTTGTCCTTACTTTGCATGGTGAGCAGATGTTTACATGTCCTGTGCATGTGTTATCAATGGAGATCTCAGCAATAGGCTCACGTTAATTTTTTTTTTCCCCCCTTTCTGCATTTGTCAGTAATGGATATTTTCCTCTCTTGTGTTTTAGGGAAAACTTTAGGGCAGAAATCCACGGTAGCCCCTTCACTTCTGGAAATCAAGAACAGCAGTTTGGAAAAAGCTTTTTTTTTTTGAAACACATCAAAAACTGCTTCACTAAACACAGCCTAGTTTTTCAAGTGGAAATAAGACAAGCTAGCAGCCAGTGCACAGCATCTTGGCCTTGAGTCCTGGTCCTAAAACAGATGTGCCCTCAACCATGGCATGCTATGGAGGGGAAGTGGGATGGCTGCGCTTTTATTCCCACGCTTGATCCAACAAGCTATTTCACATAGAACATCCAAGGGCTTTAACTTGATGATGAGGTTTACTCATCAAAAGTCTGTGCTATATATGTGACTATCAAAAATATATTTTTTTTAGTGCAATATTAATGCTTTGAGACGATTAGAGGCTAATAGGAATGTCTAAGAAGGATTTTTTTTTTTAATCAGTGTCTGTGTTTGCTTAAACAGGAATTGATTTACTGCTATTTATTTTATTTGGCTGAATTCTCAGTTTTACTTGAGTGCAGCACCACAAGGTACTGAAAAGCTCATTCACCTACTCCTCAGTTTCAGTTCTCATGGTTATCCTTCACTGATCCTTGCCTTGGTCTTTCCTCCACGGTATCACAAAGGACACTAACATAGGCTATGGGCTCCAGGGGGCCATTTCCATTATCAGACACTGTAAGCTGCAAATCTGTTACCTCCTCCTTTGCAACATTACGAAAGATTTCTAACTTATGCTATTCCCTGTGCTGTGAAGCTGCCTCTGACAGCAATATTTGGGGAAGGGTCAATAACAGATTGCTTGATGGGCTGCAATGAGGCTGAACCTGAAGCCTGAAGAGTTGCGAGAAAGAAGTAACATGTGGGACTGTTTTATATCTTTCCAGATGGCTCAGCTAGACAAGGTTGTTTTGACTCCTCTCTCAGCACTACAAGCCTTGTTTTCAGGCCCACAGAAGCTCATCCAGAAGCGCTATGACAAATTGTTGGATTACAACAGCTACCTCCAGAGGTCAACAGGAGAAGAGCTTGATCTAGCAAAGAAAGACTATGAGGCTTTAAATGCACAGCTAGTGGAAGAACTTCAGGTATTCAACAGAGCAGCCAAAAAGATTGTGTTGAACTGTCTGTATTGCTTCATTACCCTCCTCAGAAGTATTATGTCTGCAGCACTTCAATCAAATTCTGCTGTGGTGGTGCCTGTTCCAGTAAGTACATTATAAATAGGCATAAGCCCTATTTATCTCTCTTTTTTTCTTTCTGTATGCATTGGGTAGGATGTGTAGGACACATGCCTAAAAGCTACTGCGATTTTGATTGTTTTGGTGAGCACAATCAATTTTTTTTTTTTCTTTGCAAGCGCAGCAAAGGTTAAGTTCTCAGCTTGAGTTTTGTCAGTCTTGGACCTTTTATTGAGAGTGACCATAATGCAGCTGCTCCAGTAATATCAGTGGAGAGACAATAGGGCAAAATGGAGGCAGTTCTTAGTATTTAAGCCTTGGTTTCTTTAGGTCTGCCCTGAACAGCCTAGAAGACACGGGAAGAGAAATTCTATGAAAGTGCATGAACTCTCCTGCTAGTGTTAGAGCTGCAGTCACGCAGAAACCTGCAGGCATAAGGCTGAGGAGATCTGATGAAATAATTTATATGAAAAACAAGTTGCTTTTAAATCCAGACATACTGCAGAAGCTCCTGCACAGGAGGACAAGTCAATAAAGTATAGTTCTGCCTGTGTTGGCAGTTTTAGAAAGTTAAAGTAATTTCTCTTACGTAATCACAGCCAACAAGGATGCCTATTTGAGCTAACATAAGAGCATCAGTTCTTCCAGCCTACTCAACTCTTTCTATGCACTGTAAGCATTACCTCAAGATTATGGAAGTATTATTAATTTCTGTGAAAATTACACAAAGTTCACTCCGCTGGAGGACTCACAACCTGAGAAACAGAGCTATGACAATACCTCCAAATCCACTCACCTGAACCAGAGGCACATTTAGGCAACTGTGTTTGGACAAAATTCTGCATAAGAAACACGTTGCAGTGAGGCCCTTCTGGAGTATCCCTTTCCACCAAGAGCTGACTTTAGAGGCAGGAAAGGGCTGAAAAATTGAGAAAAGATCAGGATCAAAACAGAGCTGCACTGTTCAAACAGAATATAAAGGCTTTTCTGCATGAAGAATCTGATCCCTATAATTTGACCATTAAGTATTTTGGAATACGCTCTGTCAAGTGTCAAGCATTGTTTTCTATGATGCTTTTCCTAAAAAATTCTTCCCCCCCCTCCCCCCCCCCTTTTTTTCCTGTTTACATCAGCAAACATATTTGGAGTTAGGCACATACCAAAAGCACTCACCCAGTGCCTCAGACAGAGTGCCAGCTTATCCATGTGTCTTTAACACATCAGCACAGTTTCACAGAAACACAGCTGTGGGTTAAGCCTTGCAGCACATGGGCCACTCTGATGTACATTTGCATCTGAAAGCAGGTGGCTCAGTACCATAAATGCAAAGCTGCTCATTTACATTTTTGTTGCTGTTTAGAATTTTTTTTTTAATGATTCAACTTAAATCAGTATGTCTTGTAAATCTAACAGCAATCATTAGTTACTTTTCTTAAACAGATCTTTCGTCTTGTGCCTAGCACACTATAGGCTCTGCAGGAAACAGCCGTACCTTGTCAGATTTCTGACGCCTAGTGTTGAGCCCATTAAGCCAAATATGCTGTCTCAAATCTCGTTACCATTTTGTTCATGAGATCTAACCTACCTTTATGTTTGCAGCTGTCTTCCTCAAGCATCTGTGAAGTGCAGCATCAGTTAATGGAGGAGGTTCACAAGCTGAATTTTGTAAAAGAAAACAGCAGTGCAACCTTCATTGAAAGGAAATTGAGCTTGGAAAAAAAGAAACCTGTCCCCTCTCCAGTGAGTATCATACATCTGAGTCCTTTAAAGAATCCTTTTCTGATCACTTTTGAAACAAATCCATGTTTATATCATTCAGAGATCTGGCTTTTGTTCCTTCACTGGGAATCTGAATTGTGTTATGTGAATGAAGCTGTTCCATTGGCCAGTAACTTTTTAAGACTCTTCACACTCGTGTTGTTATCCTGGAAATCCACTTGAGATCACCTCTGATTATCCTTAGATCTTTGTGCACATGTTAAAGCTGTATATGTAAAATTGGATTGCTTCTCTCGTTAAGAACTCTTGCAGCACATCTTACTCTTATTCAGAACTTCTCATCCGGCTTTTCTATGTGTATTTGTATGTATATACAAATTATATATACATATATATACATATATATCTCTGTATACACACCCCAGAACAGAAGATTCATAAAGTCCACTAAGGGATCCACATGTCTGTGGTTCCTAATCTTATCAGACATTTACAGAGCATTCAAAGGGTCTACTTAACCCTACCACACAAAGTCAGATTTCAGTAGAAGTCAAGGAAGCTGCAGGATTCATTTTTGCATCATAGAGGCAGGAACATGTGCTCTTTCTATCACAGTGTGTTAAAGTCACAGGGACGTACAGCCCCTCTCTTTTGGTCCTCTAACCAAACACACTTCCAGCAGTTCATAGCACCTTGCCATATACAGCATGGGAATTTTGTACAAAAAGCAGACTATTCTGTTTCTACTCATTTTCTGCTCCAGTGCTTTGCTGTGCAAGTTGCTACATGACCTTAGCACACCTCTGATAATTTTTGATTACGCTTTTTGCAACTTTACAGAGGAATTCAAAAATCACTGTTCTGGAAAAAGAGTTAAAGCAGTGACAGTTCACATATAGAACACAGGCTCATGAGAACAGAGTACTGGCTAAGAGGTACTTAATTAGTTATACTTCTATATATCTTTCAAGATCTACCTGTTATTGGTCAGCTATCACCATAGCAGTTGGACAGACCCCTTCTGCACATGCAAAGGGCATTTGGTTACATACAGCTGTGTAACTCCTTTATCTGGATGTAGCAGTGTAGTCAGTTGCCACATGCAGAACGTACGCTGGTTCCTTTTATGCATCTGTGCTGCTCAACAAACAGCCTCGACATTATTCCTACTGAGCAATTTTTAGTCTTTTCAGCTCGAATCCCCACGTCAAACAGAAGACCACAGGTCCAAGCTGCTGTCTACGTACAGCGCAGAACTGCTGTATCAAGCTAAGCGCAAGTGCAATGCCACGCAGGAATTTGATATTGATCTGCATGAAGGAGAAGTGGTGGCTGTTGTGGAGCAAAAGGATCCCTTCCAAAGTACTAGCAGATGGCTTGTTGACACAGGAAGTAAGTTCTCTGCACAAACATCCCAATAACAGCCTCCTATTGATTTCTTTTCATTCTGGCCCCATCTGTCTGCTTATGTTGTACTGACAGCTGCATAAAATGGTTTAACAGCATTTTTTTTTTTTTTTTTTTTTTTAATTTTCTGTCTTTTTACTGTGATATCCAGTCCTCAAGGGATATGTGTATTCCTCCTTCCTGAAGCCTTTCAATCCAGCCAAAGCGCAGAAGGACATAGCAGAGAGCAACTTGTGTGATGATGATTTTGATAACATCAGCCTCTTTGTCTCTTCACGGCCATCCTCTGACAGCAGCTCAAGTTCAGGGCACAAGAGTGACAGCAACTCATCTCTTCACCCCTGTAAAAATCCCACAACTAATAGCACAGAGGCTGGAGATTCTCAGGATGTGGATGATCAGCATGTAAGTAGGATACCTGCTGAGCCCTTCTTATTTTTCTCATCTCAAATCCACCATTATAATGGCTGTAATTTAAATAGTTCCTTTTGCACTGGAAAATTCTTGTACTAATCTGTCAGAATGACATGGGGAATTTGCTATCCTCTGTCCTTTGGCTTTTTTAAATAGCTACAAAGCAGTAAAAGATAATCAGTTCAACTGCAAATCTCAATCTTGTCTCACAGAAAACACACCTTCACATTACACCACTACATGTACAATGTCTCACAGTTCTCATTTGAGCTGCTTGGGGATTTTTCCACTTACCTTTAACAAGACAGCTGTAGCAAAGATGATCAGCAAGGCACAGAGGTGTCTGAAATTTTTACCATCTTCAGACCAGATCACTGCAGATAGGATCTCTGGCAGCTGAGAAGACGGTTTGAGAGATCCATCCTAACAGCTGCCATATTTAAGAGTAAGAGATTTAGATGAGGTGTTTCTCTCCTTTGAAACCTTGTAAATTCTCCAGCCAATGCAAGGCTGCATGATCTGAGCTGAAAGCTTTAGCACAGTGCTCTCTTGATGAGCTTATTTTGTTCCTTCCTATGCAGAATTCTTAAGACCCTTCAGTTTTACTTATTACTTTGGCCCTGTTCTTCGTATGCTGTAAGCAATTACAGACCATGCAGTTATGTACATACATGTTACTAGACACATTGTACATACAGAACTTGTACTAACACGCAATGGCCAGCTAAGACGTGGCTACATTTCTGAATTCAGATTTTGCATTTTGTGGCTTTCCTTTTTCAGACCTTCTATGCTGTTTATGCATTTCAAGCAAGAAGTGATCAAGAACTCAGTCTTCAGGAGTATCAGAAGGTTAGGATACTTCGGTTTTCTGACCTGAGTGGCAATAAAGAATGGTGGCTAGCAGAAGCCAAAGGTCAGAAAGGATATGTACCATCTAATTTTCTTGGAAAGATGACATACGCTTAGGAACCTAAAAGGTCCATTCAGCCAGTTTCTATGAAGCAGACAATGATAATCTACAATGGTTTGCAGAAAGCAAGGCAAACTCACAAGTGACTGACAGAAGCCACGGCACCTGGTGCAGCACACACATGATACTGAGGACCTCTGGTTTCCAAAAGCCATCACCTTGTCAAGACCTCGGGAAGAAGCATTTAACAGGAAGACCAATTCTGCTTACCACCCCAAAGGGCTTGCTTTTCCCTATTACCCCATAATTTTCACTTCTATCAAAATGTCCTACATCCAAATTCAACCTACAAATACACTTCACAGCAGAAGTGATGTTCTCCTCCCCCCCCCCAATATTCCACAAATAATATTCAAGATGAAGGCAGCCAGCCTTGAAAAAAGACAAATTCAGCCTTCAGGGATTTTGCAGCTCAGACTGAATTGTTCTTAAATCTCTACCTTGATGAACACAATCACATCTCCAAACTCAAGCTTTTGGGTTATCTATTTTTATCTCCAGCCACTTTTGTAAAGAATCTTTTTCTCAGTGGTGAATAGAGTGGGAAAAGAAAAAGAAAAAGGCTTCCTTTTTTTTTTTTTTTTAAGAAGCATTTCAGTTTAAACCATACTGATGCAGTTGGTATCAGCAGCTGAACTCAGAGATGAAAGTATGTTTAGTTACATGTAGAAATGGAATGAGGAAAAAAAGGGAAGAAGAAACAAGTAACGTGAAATAAAGGTCATCTTCAAGCAAAAAAATTTCATAGCTACTTTGTAAGGTAAGAAACAGTCTGCAGCAAGACGAATCTGCCTCAGGTTTAAAATGACTTTTCTATACACTAGCTGCTTTTTAGTGTAAGATCCATGTAGTGAAACAATTTGTGTCACTAGATTTAGGAAATTCATTAAGATTTGGAAAAAGGGTCAAGCAGTGCCATTCCAAGAATATTTACTGCCTATCTGATTCTTTAGGTCAGACACAGAGATCATACTATCAAGGGAATACACTAAGATTTAAGATGTATCAACATTTATCTTCCCAAAAAGAAAAAAATAAATCATTCTCATACTGAAAGCATCTTAACATTAAACAGTGAAGAAAATACTGATGAGCTGATCTGCTGTTTGCAAAACTTGGAATTAAAAGCCCTATATCTGGCTGAAGTATCTTAACAGCAGTCAGGGTTATTTTAAGAAGATAAAATAGTTTACATCATACCCTCAGTGAGCATGGAAAACTAAAAAATCCCAAGGAAAGATGTGTTTTTCAAGCAGTACTTCTTGAGTTTCCCTGACTGCAGTGACCCTTACTGAGCTTAGGCTGGTGGGCAGTCTAACAAAACACCTTTACTACTACCATTGATAACTGTGCATTTATAAAAATTTATTACAGGACAGAAATGCCTTGGTCCTCTAGCAATGAGTGAGGACCTTCTTACATTAAGTACTGCAAAAAGAAAACAGATCAACAACCTAAGAGTCTGAGCCTGAAACTGTGAAAGAAACTCCTTGTAGATATTTTCAGTACAGCTTCGTAATTGTTTTTAACTGATTGACCAATAAAATGGGGGGGCAGGAGGGTGTCGTTGATCAAAGGTGAGCATATACAGAAATTGTTCTAAAGCTGTTGTGTCAGTTTCTACTTCCTGAAGCACAGGATACGAATGTAAAACAATCCAAAGCCTAGAGCATAGCAAGAAATAGCCAGTCTGCAAAGAAAGGATGAGAGAGTTACAATAGCTGATGCAAGCAATAGTTTTTGCTGCACAAATGGATCTACTTTCATTTTCTTTGGAGCTCCATATTTGCATTTCATTTTGCTGAAAGGATAATTTTGAGTTTTGCTCAGAAGATGTAATAGATACACAGTGGAGCTGTGTATCTCACAGAGCTGAGATACTGAAATTTGTGCCAGATTAAAAGTTATACGATAGAGAAACTTGTAGACTTCACTGAGATGGACATCCAGAAATTAGGATATGAAATTCTGAACTATTGCAATCCCAAGACCAGTAAGAAAAGATATGTACAAGATTGCTTAACTTGCACTTTCATCTTGCTGTTTCATAGCAAGCAAAAAAAAAAATCATTCATCCATGGATGAAGCTTTTTTTTTTTTCCTCCAAAAAAGAAAACTTCACATTTAAGTAAATTAAGAAAATAAAGTGAAGGAGGGGGATGAAGGGGAGGGGTGCATGACCTTGGATGAATGTATCGTATGGATTACTATCAATTTCACCCTACTGAGACTGCATTGCTCTGGCACTTAAACTTTAAGATTATGGGGAAGATATGCACAAGAAGCTTTTCAGCATGTCTTACATTTCAGAGTATTTTATTTGGAGATGTTCTATACTTCGCAGTAGTTGAAAGAGTTTTAGAAATGACTGAATTGTATTTAAGTGCTTCCAAGACTGCATTAAGTCAAGGAGTGTTTTATATTTCAGATAGGGAAATTAAGTAAGGGCAAGAGTCAGAAAAAAAAGATTTCTGTAGTGTTAGTTCTCAGAACTCAGCTTGAGTCATACGGAAGGCTCTGATTTTGAGTGTTATGTACATTCTCCATGAAAAATCAGGCTCTGTGAAGGTGTCTCTAAGCAAGTTCAAACACTGCTTTCCGAAGTGTTCAGTAGGGATCCTGAAGTAACAAGAAAGATGAAGTAACAGTGACAATGTTTCTTTAAATATGTGGGATTTCAGAACTTCTAGGAGGATTCTAATAAGCTATGAAATCCCACTTGATGGTTAGCACTCTTTAAAATGTTATACTGCAGGCTAGTTTATGTGACTTCATTATATATATTTAAAATCTTTACAGTATCTTGGGATTCACTAAATATAAACAGGTGTTCCAGTGGATTAGCTTATTTAACCACCTCAGAAATTCCAAGTCTCATATATTAAAATTTGGTATTACAGGTGTCTCACAATCTTTTTGTTTGCTTAAAACAAATAAAAATCCAACTTCAATTATTGCAAAACCAAGAGATGCTCTTTGAATTAAAGCCTTCACCCAATAAGATTTACAATAATTCAAATTAGACTTGCTCAGATGCATTTTTGTTAAGAGTCCAACTTTCAGCACTACAGTTCTGAGCCAGGTTAGGACTCCAGATATTCTTAAAAGCTATGTAATGTTTTCACAGCTGATTCACTAATGTAAAAGAAGGTTACAGTATTCTAAGAATTTTCTTGTTCTAATTAGTGACAAAACTAATTATTTTGACTGAAGGAGGAAAAGGCTGCAGTTTAATCCTGCATGTACTCAAACATGCATTTTAGTTACTTGTACCATCATGACAGTAAGCATGTATTACTAGGACTGGGTCTGTTCAAACTGAGGTGTTCCTCCCCTCACAGATGTATTTTTAAGTATTGACATTGGTCACCTGCAACCCTGCAGACATCCAAGCCAGCAAACAACACAATGCCTCTCATTCAACCTTTGACAACTGTGTTGTCTTCCCTCTTAATCCTTAAATGAGGATTTACCTTTTTAAAACTAAAACACATTGAAGAATTCTTCCTTCTGAGTAATTATGCCCTTCAAATGCTAAAATATACCTTTGCTGTCATTTTAAGCTAGATTGGAGAAATGCCACCTCTGGACTAGAGCTGTAAAAGAAAACAGTCACAATGCTTGTGTGACTATAACTCCTACAATCATCTTTGTTCAGAAATGGTGAAATTAATCTTCTTAAATTATTGCAGTAATAAAAATATTTTTCTAAGGCTGTTGTCTTTTTTTTTTTTTAAATTATACAAAAAAAGACCTATTCCAGAAGCTAAGAGCTATGCATGCTACCCAAGATCTGCTTCCTGTTGTCAGCTATAAAAAGCATCACTGCAAAGTTACCAGAGCAGAAGAAATGGTCAGTTGCATCAAATAATACACTGCCTTTTTAGTATACATCTTAACTTCTCTATTCACATATTAGAACTTGCTCAGTACCTTGATAACATATGAGTTTCAAAATACACCTCAAGTTTGCAAATATTATGTTAGACCTGTTCTTTTCTTGCTACTTGTATGGTTGTGACCATTATTTACTGCTATGTCCAGCCAAAGTTTTTCCTGTTACCACTCATGACAGAAAGGCCTGCTACAGAAGTACATTACAGAACTGTGTTAGATGCCAGTATCTTTCCTGTTAGACCCAGATACCACCAGCACCCTAGTCCAGCCAGAAGCCTTCACGCAGAAGAAATAAATTGCCTCACATTGCTAAGGAAATTAGGATTTGAGCATCTGTGAAAAACATCATATATAAATGGAAGTATATTTTTATACTGACTAATAAAATGGGTAAGAAAAGTCAAGAAGCTATACTTACAGTAGATCACAGAGCAATCTAGTTTAGGGATTAAAAAAAAAAAACACAGGACTGTTTTCCAGTTACTTTTTTCCCTAAATATGGAATATATTTTCAAAATTCACAAGGCCTTCCTTCCCTTCTGCCTTACACTAAGTTCTTCAACTCCAAGTGTAAATTCAGTTGAACAATGCCAAAGAACAGATTCATCTCCTGATAATACAGTTAATTCCATACTAACTTCAAAGCAGAATGCAACTGTTCCCTTCAATACACTGTGGCTTCCAGCAGTGCCTATTTTATGTATTCAAGCTAGACTATTGATTTAAAAGTCCAGGTCTATGTTACAAATCCTTATTGATATAATACTTCAGAGAATCACAATCCTAACTGACATTTTTATACCAACAGAAGGAGACTTAACTTTTCATTTCAGAAGCTGGAAAAGTTACAACAGAAAATTTATATTAATTGCAGATCCACTGCAAGTTTTGCTAAATGTATAGCAAAAGAAGTTGGTGACAGCCTGTATGTAGTACCTAAAATGAAACAGGGTTCATACATAAGCTTCTGAACTCTCACAAACAAAGTTGTTTATTTGGACACAAGACACAGGCAACTTGCATCTAGAATCTTCCTGTGGGACTAACTAGTAGCACTCCAGCCATTAAAGGAAATCTAGCTTAATGCTCTACTTCATAACATGAGCAACGTTCTTCAGAATAATATTTAAGAAAATACGCCTTTTAATTGCAGTATCTTTTCCTACTATACCAACATTAAAAGCCTTTGTGCTGGAGAGTGAGAACAATTAGCTAATAAATGGGTAATAAAGATTCTGTATTCTCCCTCCTAGTACTGTCACTTACTTTTAAATTGCCCTGGAAGAAGCATGCACTACAAAGACAAAGTTCTTTTTTACCGCACAAGAAACGTTAATTGAAGCAGAAAAGAAATTCTCAGAATAGCTAAGGCAATGCTGAATAAATGAAGCTATTCAGATATTCAAATACAAAACACTTAGCTTAAACCTGAACAACAGAGAGTGGAAAAGAAGTGAGGAAAGTAGCTGCTTGTATCAGATTTGCTCATCCCATGTTTCAAACACATAAAAGGCTGTGGTTTTCATGCACCTCCTAAACTCTGAGACATTTTCATGTTTAGAGATGCTCCCCTCAACGGAATGGAGAGGGGATCACTGCAGGCTGATCATAGACAACAAGACTCAAAATCCTTCTCCA